TTAAGGAGCCCTCACCTTGGGCCAGATTTACGTAGCAGTTACGCAAGCACTTACGAACCTGTACATCTTTTCTCAATTATTAGCGGCTTTGTTTACAATTATTAAACAGTTAATGAGCTCCGAAGCACCAGAAGTCTGTTTATAACAATAACAACATTTGACTGGGAAGTTTCCATGCTTGTAAACCTTTTAATAAATGTAACCAAAGCCGTCAAAGATTTAGGAAATACAGGCTTTTAAGTACTTGCGTAACTACTTCGTGAATCTGGCCCTAGGAGGTTAACGGTGGTTAAGGAGCCCCTCACCTGGAGGTTAACGGTGGTTAAGGAGCCCTCACCTGGAGGTTAACGGTGGTTAAGGAGCCCTCACCTGGAGGTTAACGGTGGTTAAGGAGCCCCTCACCTGGAGGTTAACGGTGGTTAAGGAGCCCCTCACCTGGAGGTTAACGGTGGTTAAGGAGCCCCTCACCTGGAGGTTAACGGTGGTTAAGGAGCCCTCACCTGGAGGTTAACGGTGGTTAAGGAGCCCCTCACCTGGAGGTTAACGGTGGTTAAGGAGCCCCTCACCTGGAGGTTAACGGTGGTTAAGGAGCCCTCACCTGGAGGTTAACGGTGGTTAAGGAGCCCTCACCTGGAGATCAACAAGCTCCGGCTTACCAAGACTCCCATTAGTGCCGCCAATGGGCATTACCAGACGCCAGATGTGGGACACTATCAGAAAACCATAACACTAACTGCACCGCACGCCCGAGGTGGGGGAATGTTCCTGTTACTCCCTCTACACCTTATAAAAAGTGAGAGCAAGAGGGGCAAATGGAGAGGGAGAGAGAGAGGGGGAGAGAGAGAGGGGGAGAGAGAGAGAGAGAGAGAGAGAGAGAGAGAGAGAGAGAGAGAGAGAGAGAGAGAGAGAGAGAGAGAGAGAGAGAGAGAGAGAGAGAGAGAGAGAGAGAGAGAGAGAGAGAGAGAGAGAGAGAGAGAGAGAGAGAGAGAGAGAGGGGGGGGGAGATTGAGAAAAATGTAATCAGCCTAAACATTTGTGAGTTAGTATTGTGATGTCAGCCGAGATACCCACCACAGGAGGTAACACTTTACCAAAGACGACAACACGGCCCAGAAATAGAGACAAAAACACCCTCCAAGAGGGATCGGTAGAGCTTCAAGTATCTGAAGTTTACAAGGCGATTGTGAGGTTCCTTGCGTGATCTGAGGGAAGGGATACACTGGTATAAGCCTGCAACATCAGAGGAAAGGGGCTAACCCAGCTGTACAGGACACCTAGGGGAGACTTTGCAAACTTCTACATGGGTACCATCGAGCAAAAAGTCTTAGTCGACATGAACTTGAAACCGGCCATATACTGCAGGTATGTTGACGACATTTTTACACAGGTACCTGATGTCAGACATCTGCAGAAGCTGAAGGAGGCATTTGAGCAGAGTTCCGTGCTGCGTTTCACTTACGAGACGGAAAAGGATGGGAAGCTGCCTTTTCTAGATGTAACAGTCATGGAAAAGGGCGGAGGTTTCCACACTGCAGTCTACACTAAGGAAACAAACATAGGAATGTGCCTAAATGCCAACAGCGACTGCCCCGACAGGTACAAGAGGAGTGTTGTTAACGCATACGTCGACCGTGCTCTCAGCCACAGCTCAGAATGGAAGCAAGTCGACGAAGAACTCTGTAGGGTAAGGCAGGTTCTAGTCAATAACGGCTTCTCCAATGGTTTCATCGAAGACATCATAAGAAGGAAAGTGAAAAGCCATGCAACGTCTGAAGAGACAACTAACACAACACCTATACCCCCTATTAGACTATTTTACAGGAACTTCTTTTCCACAGCTCATAAAACGGAGGAAAGGGTCCTGAAAGATATTGTTAATAGAAACGTTATCCCTTCAGACAAAAATCAGAGGATACAACTGACGATTTACTATAAAACTAGAAAAACGGCCAGCCTACTCATGAGAAACTCTCCAGACACAAAACAGAACGCTTTAAAAGAGACTAACGTCGTCTATGCCTTCAAATGCCCACTTGGGGACTGTAAGCTCCAAAAAACCCAGTATATAGGCAAGACAACAACATCTCTTTCTAGGCGTTTAACGATGCATAAGCAACAGGGCTCCATTAAGGAACATATAATCTCTTCCCATAACCAAACCATCGCCAGAGAAATCCTAGTAAACAACACAGAAATCATCGATAGATACAGCGATAGCAGGCGGCTTGACGTTTGCGAGGCACTACACATCAAGAAGTCAACACCAGCAATCAACAGCCAATTATTGCACAACTATATTCTACCCACCTCAAGACTCCGCTCCAATATAGAAGCATCAAGAAATATGGACCAATAGGCTTTCTACAAACACTTCTATTCAATACCCATTGTTTTCTGTTCTGTCTTGTGTTGATACTTTTAATACCCTATTAATATCCCCTGTTCTGTCTTGTGTTAATGCCACATCATCCTTCCCACCTCACTCAAATGTAGATATAATATCAGAGAGACGTAAGTTCTAATCAGTTGTGTATTTGTGAAGTCTTTGAAAATGTAATAAGTTTTACGAAACGCGCCCGTGTCGCGTCAGACTAGAAATAAAAATGAATTTTGGAGAAGTGATTTTTGATTTACCTCCAACAGTGAAGCGTAATGTACGAAAGATTGAGAAAATTCGTGTTAGAATTATTAATCTTACTTTTTTGGTCATATTTAATAATATATGTCTACAGGAAAGACTGCTACCAAAATATACTATATATATATATATATATATATATATATATATATATATATATATATATATATATATATATATATATATATATATATATATATATAACTGAAAACTCACACCCCAGAAGTGACTCGAACCCATACTCCCAGAAGCCACGCAACTGGTATGTACAAGACGCCTTAATCCACTTGACCATCACGACCGGACAAAATGAGGTGATAGCCGAGGCTATTTGAACCACCCCACCGCCGGCACTCGGATAGTAATCTTGGGCATAGCATTTTACCAAATCACCTCATTCTTTGGGGCACACGTGAGGAACACAAAATGCTATGCCCAAGATTACTATCCGAGTGCCGGCGGTGGGGTGGTTCAAATAGCCTCGGCTATCACCTCATTTTGTCCGGTCGTGATGGCCAAGTGGATTAAGGCGTCTTGTACATACCAGTTGCGTGGCTTCTGGGAGTATGGGTTCGAGTCACTTCTGGGGTGTGAGTTTTCAGTTGCATATTGTCCTGGGGACCATTCAGGCTTGTTCGCATATATATATATATATATATATATATATATATATATATATATATATATATATATATATATATATATATATATATATATATATATATATATATATATTGGTGTATACTGGCAGCAGGTTTTCTTTCAAACATGTTTCATTGAATATGACCGCATATTCTGTATTTATTATTTTCTGGTTTAGGGCTTCTATCCCTCTAACTATTTTCTTAGCATCAGGGCTTAATTGAAATAGGAGTTCTCCAAAACTCATTTTCGTACTTTTAAGGTACGAAACATAAACCTGATAATATTCTACAAAACCAAGAAGACTTCCGAACTCCTTATCAAAAACAGCCCGAAGCCGACGGAGAACCCTCTACAGCAGTCAAGCGTTGTATACATGTACACTTGCCCCCACGAAGGATGTAACCTTCAATGTAAGTACATAGGTATGACGTCGACCAAGCTGACGAGGCGTTTGACATGCCATCTTCAATCTGGTGCCCCTAGGAATCACATGAGACAAGCCCATGACATTACTCTAACAAGAGAAATGTTGAACAAGAATACTTGCATAATAGACAAAACCCAAGATTCAAGAAGATTACAAATTCTTGAGGCAATTCACATAAGAATAGAGCGACCTACCATGAACACCCAAATCACGGAACTATTTACTCTACCCACCATGAGAGTAAGGACAAGACAAGAACATATCGATGCCAACACAGAAGACAATGTCCAACATAACAGGCCAATTACACTGGATTAATCTTTGTGTTTGGATAGGAGATGCCTCGTATGGGCCAATAAGCCTTCTGCAGCCCCTATGTTTATCCCTTATGTATCCCCCATGTTTTCACCTTCATTGTATTATCACCTGACCTAATGCGGGTATAAAATCAACTAGTATTGTAAGATCTGTTCACTTGAGAATGAACCATGGAGGTTCGAAACGTCGTGCAAATTATACAAATAAGTGTAATACACTCTATAGTAAATCACTTCTTTTCTTCACCTTAAAAGTACGAAAATGAGTTTTGGAGAACTCCTATTTCAATTAAGCCCTGATGCTAAGAAAATAGTTAGAGGGATAGAAGCCCTAAACCAGAAAATAATAAATACAGAATATGCGGTCATATTCAATGAAACATATATATATATATACACACACAACACCTGCTGTTTCAACAGTGTGGACAACGAAGTTAGGCCTACATAATAGTAATACTTCAGAGAAAATAACAAATATTCGGGGAAAACGCTCACTTTCATATATCCTTCTTTTTTCAACAGGAAAAATATAATCTTTACCCTTTTGCATAACTTAAAAAGCCAGCGAAAACGGTACAAGCAGACTTAACCACCCGGACACGAGGCCCTTCATGTGGCGGTACTCCGCCCATAACAACCTCTAGGGTTGGTTATCAACTACTTGATTGTTTGTCTTGTATACGTGACTGCTTCATGACACGTCAGAGGGAGAGAGAGCCAAGCACTACTCTACTGTCAAAGTATCAACGGAAGCACATTGCTTCGCAGGGATTCGCGTTCTTCAAATGACTCGAGATAAAATTGTATTTCTTAACTCTCGAAAAGTTTGACAAGGATAATAAGCACCCTGTATTTCTACAACCTTTTAAATGTATGCGGAAGATCTTCAAAAGCAAAATAATCTAAAATTGATCATATTAAACGTGACAAGACTGTTGGCAAATACGAGACATAAAGATGGTCAACTTACCTGGAAGGAAAAGGAGTAGCTGCAAGGCGCAGAGTGTCATATCCCTGAGTCCCATCATCATGGTACTCTCGCTCTCCTTGACGGCACCGCACTAGTAACTTGACCAATTCTGGACTCAATTGACTATCTAAACGACCACAATAACTTTTACACCATGTACGTTCAGGTCACTGGCTGGACGAGCCCAACATGGTTTGCTCATGGTAAACTTTATCAATACATACATGTGTACCTTATTGCCATTATATTTGAATTATTTCAGTATATTCTCTCATTCCAAACACTCTAATATTATTGAGAGAAAATCTAAAGAACAGAATCTTTGCAAATCGCACTTAACATTTCATAAATTTGTTTAAGAGTGTGTAGCCCGGGCAGAGGCATGACGCGCGTGACTGGGCCAGGCCGCAGCGCGAGCTCCACTCCGCACACTGTCCGAAGACATACTGACTCTCAGCTTCCCCAGTCCACCAGCGTCTACCAGCTTGTGTGACCAACTAGTTGCGCTATGGCCGCAACATTTCGTTCACGTCTATTTTGTTTCGTACGTTACATGCGCAGGGTATAGACTTTTTTTTCCAGGTCTGGCCTTCTATCCCATGTGTGTGGGCGTGTGTTTTGCAGGGTGACTCATATGAGTGATGGATTGCCGATATTTTCAAGGGCGCCGCGGCTACAATCATAGGTCTGCTCATACAAACGTTCCGATTGTTTCTTTACCAGTTTTGTTATGATCGATGTTAAAGCGCTACGACAAGACTTGACCAGCAAATCATCAGCAGACTGCGGCCAGTCATCAGCAGACTGCGGCGACACGTCGGTCCTAAACCACCGCCTCAAACTATTCACTAATGTAGCACGACAATAACACTCAGAAAATGAACTATTAATAATTATTTGTTATTTACGCAAAGGGAAATTTGGGAATCAAGATTTTAAAAGCTGACGATTGAGAGTGTTGACAAATATTCCTAATATTTTCCTCGCTAATTAGTTCAAGGCGCCAGGTGGCTGAGGCGCCAAGTGACTGAGGCGCCAGATGGCTGAGGCGCCAAGTGACTGAGGCGCCAGATGGCTGAGGCGCCAGATGGCTGAGGCGCCAGGTGGCTGAGGCGCCAGGTGGCTGAGGCGCCAGGTTGCTGAGGCGCCAGGTAGCTGAGAAGCCAGGGGGGTTAGGCGCCAGGTGCCTGAGGCGCCAGGTGGCTGAGGCGCCAAGTGGCTGGGTCGCCAGGTGGCTGAGGCGCCAGGTGGCTGAGGCGCCAGGTAGCTGAGAAGCCGGGGGGTTAGGCGCCAGGTGCCTGAGGCGCCAGGTGGCTGAGGCGCCAAGTGGCTGGGTCGCCAGGTGGCTGAGGCGCCAGGTGGCTGAGGAGCCAGGAGACTGAGGCGCCAAGTGGCTGGGTCGCCCGGTAGCTGAGGCGCCAGGTGGCTGAGAAGCCAGGTGGCTGAGGCGCCAGGTGGCTGAGGAGCCAAGTGGCTGAGGAGCCAGGTTGCTGAGGAGCCAGGTGACTCAGGAGCCAGGTGGCTCAGGAGGCTGAGGCGCCAGATGGCTGAGGAGAGGAGCCAGATGGCTGAGGCGCCAGGTGGCTGAGGCGCCAGGTGGCTGAGGCGCCAGGTGGCTTGGTCTGATGCTTAGTGATGCGTTTCGTAAGGTCTCGTCTCAAATTCTCAAAGACAAATTCTTCTGTGTAGCTCCTGATTATATCTTCTAGTGATGAGTGAGTAGGTGACATGGATGAATGACATACATGGGGTATTAAATGAAAGGTGTATTAAATGAATGGGTTACTAATGGGGTAGCAGATTAAGAGTGTGACATGTTTATGTTCTGGTTGCTTCCGTTCTTGTTGCAGGGTCATTTGGTCCAGCTTCTGTATTGGCCCGAGGTCTTGAGGTGGGAAGAGTGTAGCTGTGTGTTAGCTGGTTATTGATTGCTGGTCTAGATTTTTTGATATGCAGCGCTTCACTGATGTATAATCTTCAATTGTCATTGTATCTATCAGTTATTTCGGTGTTGCTCGTCAAAATATCCCTGGTGATCGTCTCGTTGTGTGTGGCAATTATATGTTCCTTGATGGAGCCCTGTTGTTTGTGCATTGTTAAACGCTTTGAGAGAGACGTTAACGTTTTGCCTTATATCTTGTGTATGAGGTTGTTAGTTACTCAGAACGTTGATAGCTACCAAGAATGTTGATGAGGTTGCTAGTTACTCAGAACGTGGATGAGGTTGTTAGTTACACAGAACGTTGATGAGGTTGTTTGTTACTCAGAACGTGTGTGGCGGACCTCGGCGCCATCTACGATCCAGGTGCCGAACTATAGCAGTCGACCCTCCCATTAATCGTAGTTTCCCATATTCGAGTCGGCTGGGCTGGAAGGTGACGACTAACCAGGGACAAGGAATGGAAGTCAGTGAAGCAGAGACAGTGGAAGAGTAGTTGGGTCGACCTGAAGGTGCTAGCTAAGTGGGCTCAGTTGAGAGCTGTGGATCTCACTCCTGGAGGTACCATTTCCCACTTTACCACTGATTTGCGTGTCATCTGCAAATTTGATGATGAGGTTTGTAATATTTTCATCTTTGTCATTAATGTATATGACAAAAAGGGATGGCCCCACTTTTTATGCTTGTATCACTCACCTTGTATCACACAAGGGAGATGTGTTCGAGGTTTTGAAGTGCATGGATGAATGGAATTAATTGTTCCACACCATATTGAACTTGGACCCAACTGTCAATTAGGTTAACCCATATATAGGATTCCAAAACTGTACAACCATGTTAGAACACTTGTTAGCATCATTTTTGGAAGAAAGTGCTCTTTTTAGGGGGACAGGCAGGCAGAGTGTATTTACCTGAATTTACTGGATTTTAGCTGAGAGCCACTAACACACTAATGGCCTCAACGAAGACAGGAAGCTGGCAGCTTGTCAAAGGTCCCGACATTTGCCATGATGATTTTTTCAAGCTGGACGTTAAAATTTAATGGAGTTTTGGCATGAACAGCTTCGGTGGGTAGTTGGTTCCAAGGGTTTATAACCCGGTAAGTGAAGAAAACATGTGTTTTCAGTCTTATATTGTGGCTTGTTGAGTTTGACACCATTGAGCCTTGTTTGTGTTACATCTGACCTTTTGAGAAAGTTATTTAGATCAACATCCTTCAAACTGTTAAGTATTTTAAATGTTTCGATGAGATCTGCCTCGCCATGCCTGGCTTGCAGTGTTAGCCCCGAGGCACTCGATCGTTCCTGGTACGAGAGTTTACTTAGCTTTGGAATGATTTTTGTCGCTTAGTGCTGTACTTTCTCCAGAGTAGCCATGTCCTGCTGAAGGTCTCCATGCTTGGATACAATAATCCAAGTTGAGGGCACACCAGAGGTTCATGCAGTTGAATCAACACCAACTTTTACTTGAATTCCTAGCGATTGGTTAGGTCTTTTTGGTACTGCTGCTCCCACCTGTTGTGCAACTTTCAGTGAATTTTGACTCGTGTCTTTTTCTTCATCTATCTACTGCAAGGTAATGTTATTAATTTGGTAGTTGTGACGTAGGTTGTTATGCCCCACATGCAAAGTCTTGCATTTCTTGAGATTAAAAAAGCATTTGCCAGTCTAATGACCTCTTGTCAAATTCATATACATAAGAATTTGTAAGAAGCCTTACCAACTGATCATAAGATCAGTTGCTAAGGCTTCAATATCATTTTCATTTCCCACTTTACCATAGATTTTGTCATTTGAAAATTTGATCATATAGTTTATACTCTCATCTGTCATTGATGTATATAACAAAAAAGGGTTGGCCCCATAATGGACCCCCTGTGGCACCCCACTCGCCACATTTCTCCAGCCAGATTCATTCCCATGACTGTCTGTTTTCTTTGTGGGTGGTAAATTTAAAAGGTCAGTTTAAAGTGGTCTCTCGTAACCTACCAGAGGACCCACAACAGAAAACGGGACAGTACGTCACCTTCGTCAGCCGCCTCCATTTTCTAGTACGACAATTTTTGGCCTTATGTAACGCCTACGATCGAAATGCGACGTTCTTTGTAGGAGGACAGGTTGGCCTACCCAATAAATGTGTAAGTGTATTACACATTATCTGACGTAACCTACAACCTTTCTCAAGGTAGTGTATACAATGTTCTGATTATTCAGTGTTGTAGTCTGTATACAGTACCTCAGGATGCCTCCCACAACAGTTAACTAACTCCCGGGTACCTACCTACCTCCACTCTTTCTTTACACCACTAAACACGACTACAGGAAGGATTGGGCTACAGGAAGGATTGGGCTACAGGAAGGATTGGGTTACAGGAAGGATTGGGCTACAGGCAGGATTGGGCTACATCTCCAAATGTATATTTGCCAGATAATTTGGCACTAAAAACAAAACTCATATATTATTGTTTAGACTAAATCCGCTACTCATTACTTTCCTGAAGTTGTCGTATATACACTACAAAATCTGAGTGTAAATCACAAGACAATTAACACGTGATGAAAAATGTGACAGTGTCAGACCACGAAGGAAGAATTGAAAATGGAATTTCCTTAAATATTTTCATATTTAATAATAAATCTTCAAAAGGGTGTTTCAATTCTTCCTTCGAGGTCTGACACTGTCACTACAGAACATGAATGTATTTAAACGTTGCAACAATGAGTAATGAGAGCAATCATTATATGGATGGCGTAATAACAAGGGAGCATTAGCGCCTCTGGTGGTCAGATGCTTAACTGTATTAGAGGTTGACAGTTTAGATATTATGGTGAAGTAAGGGTGAGTGGCGCGTCTGGGAGTCCCACTTCTTAACGTGTGGCTCATTTGTCGACCAGCCGCCGCCTGGCAAGGGTCACGTTGATTACCAGTGTGCAAATAAATTTGTGTTGCAGATATCTTTCCTCTTCAGATCACTAGCCGAGAGCGCCAAACAGCAACAAAATGTTTCCACTCTCTTAAGGGTTGCGAAGCCTACAGTTGTCCTACTTCGCTAATTGTGGTATCATTGGAATCGCAATACAATTCTCGATACTGACATATGCATATAAATATAGATTCAATGTCGTAGCCCACCCAAAACAGTGTGGGAAGTGGCCGAAGTGTTACCCGCGGCGGCATATCGGCGAAACTCGCTTTGAAAAGTGAATATTCAATTCACTGTCCTGACATTATTTGTCGATGTATGTATTTCATTTTAGTACCAATGTGCTCGCAATACAATGTTCTATAAGAACATAAGTATTAAAGGTCACATAAGGATGCGTTCGACCGGCAACATATATAAAAACTACGTCGATTATACTCGTCGTGTCAATAATACAATTGTTTTACCACGATGATTCACTGCAATGTCGTTTTCTTTAATAAGCTGTTAGGCTATTAGAGAAAACGTAAATTTCATGGCAAACAATTGTAATCTATTCCCAAGATGATCGGATAAA